TTAGATTTATACAATTAGCGCTATCAGCAACAGTAGTAGTAACAGGGATTTTTCAGGGCAGTAAACATTTTACTATGTACTTTTATTTAGCTGATTATTATCATTAAATTACAGGTTCTAAGTTCTGTTTGTTAAAACCACAAGTGTCTTGCAGTACTGTTTTAGTAATAAATGGAAAGCGAATTACATTTGTCTCCTTCCCTTTTTTAGTGATCCGAAAAATGGTCTTATCTGTAACTAAAAAACCATAATGTGATCCAAACAGTGAGATTTGTGATCCGTTACTCCACTACTAAGAATGAACAATACTCGTGTCGCATACAGTATATTAATTAACTAACATTTACTAATGCAATGTTAAAATCTGAATTCATGCTTGTTAACGTTAGTTAATTTTTCATTAAATAAGGTTCATAAAGATGAATAACTACTGTAATAAATGTAAATAAATTACTAACATCAGCTAATGCAATGTTATTGTTTGTATTCTGGTTAATATGGTATTATCCGAATCTGATTTTGAATGCACAAATTTATGAACATCTCCAGCTTGAAAAAACAACAGCAACCTGCAATCACTCACTATCAGAGTATGAGTAATGACTGAGGCAGAAACAAACACAGGATTAAGGTGAGAAAAAATGTGTCACCGTTTCTGTTAGTGCAGTCAGTGAGCAAGATGTTGATGTAGCTCTAGCTGTGGGTCTGTGACCCGTTCTGAATGTTCAGTATGTTTAATGCTCACAGGAGGATTATCAGATCTCTTCAAAACTGGCAGCTGATGACATGTTCAACATGGACTTTATAACAGCTCACCAAGTGGACACAGATAAAGCAGGTGATCTAAAACTGAGACGACTGGAATTCTATTAAATATTTCCACTGACAGCACACGTCCAAAATGAACCCGCCACACCTGTCAGAAGGCCTGCCTTAGCTTCTACCGCACAAGGCTAATGACAGTGCTGCTGGATAAAAAAAATAAAAAATCACAACGTTTGTGCCATATGGAGAACTGGCTCCATGCATGTGTTTTAGCTTGAGACTGCATGCTGTGGAACTTAATGGCTCTCCAGACCCCAAAACATATGAGCAAAGCAGTGCAATCAAACAGAACGGGAGACCATAGGGGTGGAGCAGGCCTGTAAAGTTAAGGAATGTCTTATGTTGACACTGGAGTTACTGTGTGTGCTGTGTGTGAGAGAGAGTGTGCGCATGCGTGTCTATTTCAAAGAAGGGGCTCCGAGCATTTTTATGATGGTAATAATGGGCTTAAATTGAGGTGTGTTACTTGAGAAGAATTCAGGACAGGACATACAAGTATATCAACAGACTAACTGTAGAGGCTATTTCATGTAGGCTCTCTGTCTCTCACTTCCACACGTTTTGTGTGTGTGTGTGTGTTCAGCAAAACAAAGAGGTGCATATCTTTAAACCCCTTCCCAATGACAACGTTTGTTTAACCACAAAGACTGCTTCACCTTCCTGGCTGGGGGGGAACTTTGTCTTCCTTTCAGTGATTTCACAATTGCCTCATTTCCTATTTTCTCCAAGAGATGTTTTGCTTAAATGTGAGTGACTTCGAGTAAATTAGGTCACCATTAGGTGCTGAATAAACAGCCCTGAACTCCTTTTTTAAAATGTAAAAGAGGGTTTGGAGCTGTTCATTGTGCAGGATTTAGTGCTGATCTGCCTCTTCTGAGAACAAACAGAGTTCAGTGTTAATACGCTCAGTGTCAAAAAACAATACATTAGACTAATTTTACTAAAACGGGCTGGAGAAGGAAAGAGAAACCTTCTTTTCCACAAGCTTATGTGGTGAAACCAAACACCACCACCGGGTTTCCTCCACCCCGTTCAGCCCTCCCCAGCCCCCTCTATAGCCCTGTAAAAGCCTTGTTATGGGAAAAAGCCATTCTGTGAGTTTTTTATGTTTGCAAAACATGGCAGAGGAAAAGAGAAGGGGGATCAAACATACGCCCAGAAACTAAAGTGGAGGTCATACTGAGTAATCAAAAGAGCGATATTTGCTGAGGGAAAAGTACACTCTGTATTTTAGCGAACATTTGATGCTTCAAATAGGTTGAGATAAAGCCTGCTAAATATTAACTAGTATTAATATTAATCATTTAATAATATTGTTTTATTTAATAAGCATGCTTAATTGATGAATTAATTGATTAATTGAAGCATGAGACAATAACCATTTTCAAGGTTTAACACGGTTTGGAAAAGTCAAGGTTTTAAAACTGCCAACATTTTCTGCTATACCATTCCTAAGGTATGTGTAAGGCTTTTTAGTTTTTATGACAACAGTATCTCCAGCAGATAAGATCTCTAAAGATGCTGTTTTAAATTGTAAAGAAATCTGTGTTTTTGTAAGTAATGATGACAGCAGAAGTCAATGATTTATTTTAATTATTTAGCCTGACATGTTTCATACTCCAAAATATTATAAATGTTTCTCAAAATAAAATCTATTGGCTTCAAAGGAGAAAAATGTTTTAGTTTTTACCAGACATTTAAAAAGAATATATTTTAGAGCAGTAATCACAATAAAGTGATACCATGATATTTTTATGCATGGTTATCATACCATCAAAATTTTATACTGTAATGTTATACTGTAAAATAATGAATAACAGAATTTTAAACAATCTATTCAGATAATCCTTTATATCATGGTTTACACGCACACACAAAAAATATCAAGCAGCAATAGTGGTTTCTTGAGCAACAAATTATATTAAAATACATTTTAAAGTATGGTTTAACCATAAAGATTTGAGTAATGATCAGTTTTGCAATAGCCAAAATTATTTGGATTTTAAATCATATTAATATAAAAAATTTATATTTAAAAATTGTACTTACTTACTGATTAAAAACAACACAGTTTACTATTCTCATCTTGTTTTCAAACTCGGAAAAACCTCAGTAAAACATTCCTGCAATATTGCTAATAACACATATTGTGCAATGCAAAAAAATAAATAAAAAAATCAGCTATTTCAATGCATGTGCACACATTTAAACACTACATAAATATAAAACTGCAATAAATATTTCAGTGTAAAACAATGTCGGTGTAAGATGTAATTCTCTAGACACATGCGCACGCGCTTAGATATATTTGCCTGGCTAGACTGTACTGAAGTATGCAGTTTGTTCCTATTTCGTAATGGCTTGGCTTCAAGCCGACCCATACGCAGCCTGAGAGGGATATCCCAGCATTATTGGGAGGGAGCCAGGTTGGAATGCCACCAGGTCTAGTTTCCTGCATTCCTGCCAAAACTCTACGCAACTACTTGCTTTTTTTCTCTCCCCTTGCTGTTTCTTTGACAATAAATGGCCATATGGCAACAGGTTTAACTTTGTCTCTTCCGACCCTTCCCTGTCTGGCTGGCTCTGTCCTATCTATTCTGTTTTCCTTTGATGAATGACTCATTTGTAATATCAGTGTAAATAGAAGAACTACACACATCCAGCGCAGGCTTGACTAAAAAAAGAAATGCACTGCAAGTTGCACAACAGCTTTTCATCATTAAGAGTCGTTTATTTATTTTGGCTTTAGTTTTGATTAAAGAATTTCAAACAGAAACAAAAATGAAACATAACGAGCTGGCTTATAAAGCTCTTTCAAAGCTAACCAGTAGTCTGTATTTAGCGTTTAATTACTTTCCTAAATACAGACACCAGGAATTTGGTCAAAAGGGAGTTTAATGTCTATTTTTACATTCCTCTAAACAGCCTTTCTTACTTCAAGAAGGCATTTATAGCATTTAGACATTTTTTTAAAGTGTTGAAAACAGGCAGTACACTGGCTCCAGTCAGTCTACCAAATGCCATCGGCATCCTTTCATTGTTTCTGCATTTCACTTGATTTGTCTAAATAGCTCAAGAGCGATTACAAAATGCATGTCCTAGACTTCTGCAAAACAACATTAATTGTGTTGCGTAACAATGTTCTCAGAGTTTCTTCTTTTTTTAACACAAACATTGTAGTTGACATTCATTTTTTTATGATAAAAATGAATACACTAATCCGTATCTTTTATCCTTTGTAAATCAAAACAAAAACTCTACAGCTGCACTATAAAGTATACCTTTGCATTGAATTTCCTCAATAGACTTTAAATGAATTATTTTTCTCAGTTTTCTTGACTTTCGCTCAAAGCAGCTGTTCTTATTCAAACTACATAGTACACCTTACGTTAAGCCAGTGCTTACACTAATGCAGCCGCTAATGTGCATGTCTCATTTGGCCTCTGAATGATCTATCATAAATAAGGAATGACAAGTCCATCCAGGCTCATTCTGTATAGATCTGTGTTTGCTTAAGAGCCTCACTCTCAGTATATCGCTCTAAATTATCCCCTGAGAAAACAGTGGAACTAAACTGCTGCAGCATAACTCTGAAGCATTCTTGCACATAAACCTGAATGTTCACAAACAGTTAGTAATCTGAAAGCATTTGTTCTCTGTGCACACTTCAAAGCACATTTTAGACCTAAATCATAAAATTGCTATAATCATTTAGATATTTTAGGACATTTCTGAAATGATCAGTAAAGCAAAAATGTGATGTTTAGCTTGCAAGTTGCTGTTACAGGTTGTAAGTTACATTTTTTAATTAAAGTATAAGCAGCAATTAAACTTTTGCAATGCAGACTGCTAATATTGTGTGTTGATGTAATATAATGTAAATGCATAATGAAAGTGTCTCGACACTAAATATCATATTATGATAAAGCAATGATGTTCAGCGAAGGAAGAATTGAGCTGCTTCCATTTTTTCCCTAATGATGATGACTAAACGTGTAACATTAGTTCTGAAAGATGCTGGAACTTCAGCACAGAGTTTCTCATAGAACTGAACCCAATCTCACTTCATGCTTTTAAACTTCGCACATTAGTAATCACCAAACAGTTCACCAGGGTGCACATTCAATGGTTATGAGAGGACATTACTAAACTACAGGTCTCAGTGATGGACATACCTGTTTGAACTGTTCCTCATAAGTCCATTCGTGGTGCTGCGACTGCGCTTGTGGAGCCAAAGCACTCGGCGATTCCGCCTGTCTGGGAGCTGGATACGGAGGTTGGACTCTGGACAGATGTATCGGGGTACTTTTTGGACTTTGACCGGCACCTGGATAAACAGCGTGGCGAGGTGGGTAATGAGCAAGGGGTCCTTCCAAGTCTTCATCCCCTCCACCCTCGTTCATACTGTCATCTTCGTCCATGTCGCGCTCTTCATCATCCATGCCGCGGTCCAGCTCCGGGTCGTCATCCTCATCATCTTCATCATCGATATCGGACTCGGCTCTGCGCTCAAGCGGGTGCCCGGAGCTCGAGTTCGGGACTCCCGCGGCGAACGCTCCCCTGACGGCTGCTTGGTAGTGGCGAAAAGCCAGAGCTTGCTGTTGAATCTGTGACTCTACCATAGACCTGATGTCTTTCTCCTTTTCGGCTTGGCGGAGCTTCTCCTCCAGGGCGAGTCGAGCCGCCTGCTGCCGCTGCAGGTTCTCCATGACCGCCTCCAGCTTCATCCCGCCGCCGCCGCCCGACTGACCGTGCGCGCCGGGGGAGCTGACCAGCAGAGGAAGGCTGCTCGCCGACGAGAAAGCGGCTTGCTGTGGGCGACACAAAGCTAAAGTTACTATAGTTTTTTGGCTGAATTATGGCGAGTTTTGAGGGAAGTGTGCGAATTATGAGACGTTATGGAGAGTCGGAGAGCATTTTTGAATACCTTGACCCCCCCGCCAAAAATTGTGGGGGATGGGGGAGAAAAGTAGCTGTTACATATTGTTTTTCACATTGAAGTACAGAGTGTCAATCGTCATAAAAATAGATGGCACATTTACCAAGTACAAAAGTTTATTTTAAGTTAGCCAGAATTCCTGTCATCCTAAAGCAGTAGGCTAAAAACTCAAGGTAAAGTTAGTTAACGTTAGCTAGTATTGACGTTTCTCGCGCGATGTTAATTTCTACTTCAGGCGGTACAATAAGAATAAAAACTTAATATTTTAGGCTACTTTATTGTAGTTTAACATGTTTAACAGAAACAGAATATGTATTAATTGGTTTAAAAATAATTTTCGATAGGCCTAATTGTTGTTTAGCTAATGCTAATCTAGTGGCGCCAAATGACATTTTGAGAGAGCATCGACGTGCCTAGGCAGTATACACACACACACACACACACACACACACACACACACACACACAATTACATACATTTTATGGTTCAGCAATATTTTCTTTAAAATGTTTGCATAATATGTAATGCAAATCAAGTTCTTGTCGAATCTTTAGTCGAGAATAGTCTTTTTAATATTGCAATAGGCCTATTAATATTATAATAGTTAACTAACCTATAGGCCTAAAAATTGTGGCTTATTTAAAGATCGAAAAGGAAAAACACAAGACTGAGTGTCAATAAAAATATTTCCATAACCTTAGCTGTCATAACTTTGTTTTCATCTATTCATTTGTCACTAACTTGCCGGTTTTGTTTACTTGATTTTATTTTTTTATATTTTTTTTGCTTTTTTTATCACTTACAAATTAGTCGGCAAAAGTGAGCTAATCTGCCAGCTCGGCGCCAATGTATTACATGTAATGCAGCAATTAAACATTGGTGAACTGTTAAAATATTGTTTCTAATATTAGCCTACACCGATCAAATAATAATTTAATCACAATTGACAGGATAAATTAACTTTGCAGGTCTGTCTCCGGGCTAGAATAGTGATTTCTCAGGGAAAAGGATTCCACAAAAAAGTTCAATTACACAAACTACCTGGCGGTCATCATCAATGAAGCTGTAAATAAATGCAAGCTAACATTTCAGAACCGACCTCGAATAATTTAGTGACAGAAATATGACAGTTGTGTGTGTGTATGCATGTATGTATGTAGCCTATATATATTCGCTGCGTTGCTACTGTAGCTGTAGGTCGAAGGGCAGCGTGTGCATTGTAGCCCAACACAACATTCGCTAGGCTAAAACAGCAGATAAGTGCACTAAACAATGAAATACAGTACATAAACTAATGTAACACAATAAACATAACGTTCCCTCAGTTCTACCCAAGGAGCAAAAGCGAGTGCTTACCAGTGCAGATTTAGTCGCTATGCTTGTGTTGTCAACCAT